AATTCTAAAAATGAAATGCAATTCTAATGTTATGTATCATACATAGGGGTATATATATAGGGAATTTAGGGATAAGGGATATACGTATAAGGGGAATATCATACAAAATGATAAAAGACCCTAAAAAGTGAAAAATATGCATGAGATGAAGTGACTTTATCATACAATCATGATCTAACGCGCGAATGGGCTCCTAAGGGTCTAGCATTGGACTAGCTCATGTCTACAAATTCTCACTAGCATTGGACTAGCGGAAAATCGGAACAAAGAGCCACAACTAGCATTGGACTAGTGTGGTGACGACATGCATTTGTTACAATCAAATAAATCATGTAAGACCTAATAAAAGCATGTAAACACATAATATCACATAAACACATAACACATAATTATAATATTTAGATGCAAGGCCCTAAGAAAGCGGTAACACATAGCACATAAGCATGCAAATCACACAAGGCAAACAAGCCCTAACTATTACATTAGGGAGGCCCTACTACAATCTAAAAAGGGGAAATGAATAATTAAAATAAATACCTAACTATTACAAATTTGGCATTCAAGTGCCTTTCAAATGATCAAAATTGAACTAAAATAAATATACAAAAACTAAAGCCAAATAAAGCAAATAAATAAATAAGTGAAATAAATAAACATTCAAGAGGCATGCAATTAAACACGTAAAGTCACATAGAGCACGTAGGGTCACATAAAGTAAGAAATAAGGGATAAGGTGTACCTCCCTTGAAGTGGCGCTCTAATGGAATGAAATTACTTAGTTATCTTCCAAAATAAAAGAAAAGGTCAACGCATCACAAATAACCATTTAAATATGAAATTGAATCATTAAAAGCCTTTAAATAACTAAACAGTCCATGTTCACAAAATTAAGATCCAATCGAAAGGAAAAATAAAGTTCAAGGGGGTCAATTTGATTGGTTTTTCCATTTACTCGGGCCAAATTAGCATTATGGAAGACTTGGGAGGTTAAATTATAATTTTCAGAAATTATTCATGCATGCAAATGAAAGCTTCCAGCAAACTGACGCTTTCTTTGCTTCTATTATTTTCTACTGCAAAATTTGCAGCTTGTGAGCAAACTAGAAAAATGGCAAAATTTACAAACAAAAATTCAAACCTCATCAAATTCTCTACAACCATTATTGACACAAGATTCGGCATGCAAACAAGGTAAGAAAATCCAGCTTGTGGGCTGTTACGGGAATCAAAGACATGAAAGCTAACGCAGCTTCATGCAAAATAATATGAGAAAAAAAAACTTCTGCAATCTGGAAAAATGAAACCTGCTGCAATTCGTGTTTCCAAAATTTGAACAAAACCAATCCATCTAAGCATACAAACATGGAACTAACAGCGATCCAACTAACTTCTACATCCACCAAACGTAAACGTAGAAAGAAATTAAGCAAGTTCTTAAAGAACTTTCTTTTCTACACCATTCCATCCGTAAGTTTCTTTCCACTTCATCATGCCAACAAGTTCACTAACTACCAGGATTATTGACTAAATCAAACACGAAATTTTGTTGCAGGATTAAGGTAGAAAATCTGGTTTGACCGACAACAAAAGAAAGAAAGAAAAATGCAGCAAGAGTTTTTGTAACAACAAACAAGCAAACTGCTGCATTTTTGTTTCACTTAGCTGGGACACATCCATGCAAAGCAACCCAAGAAATTCCCAGCGGATTTGATAACTCAACTCAAATACAAGAACTTGGGACGAAGGGGAGAGGAAAGAAAACAACGGAACAGAATGCTATGATCACTTGCTGAAAAATTTTACTCAGACTTTCCAAGAAAAAAAAAAACCAAGAACCAGATAATGAACACTGATGGCCTTTGACACTAAGTTCCCAATGACGTCTCAGTCAAACCGCAAACCAATCAAGCGTTTCAAACAAAGCCAAAACTTCGGCAATCTAAGAACAAGAAAAGGGATCTGCGCACGCTGCTGCAACAGGACCGAGAGCTTTGAGCTTGTTGCAGCAGATTTTATGCGCAATGCAAACTGAACCCAGTTGACAGGATTATCAAACATTCCTCTTAGTTTAGACACAAAAGGAAATCAGAATAAAATAGCATGCAAAGACTAAATAGCATTTGTAATTTCTAATGCTTCAGGGACTTCCGCAATCTCACGTACAAACAGCCAGCAACAAAATCTAAGCTCCAAGTTCTCATTCAGTACTACAAATTTATCCTCCAAAATATCATACAAGGGGAAAGAAAATCTGGGCAGAGAGGGGTCATAACATCAGATTCCTGCTGTAAACTTTGCAACTAATTTTCAAGACAGCCGCAGATAACAAAACTCAAACAAACAACAATCTTTCGAGCATCCAACAAGTTCCTCGCTTTAGGAAGAGAAAAAAAAAATGTTCTAGGAACCAGATAATAAGCGAAGAAAGAACCATCAGGCGTTGTCATGCTTAGAAACGCAGATAAATAGCAAAAGAACGCAACTTAAGACTGCACAATGTAAATAACAACGCAAGGGAACATTTCTCCAACTTTCGGCCCTACTTATAGGTCAGATGCATTAGTAAGATTGAATCAGATATCAATCTCTGATCTTAAACAACAAAATCACATAAATTTCACCATCCAAGCATGCAAAAGAACCCAGAATTTCTGGTTACACAGACCAGATGTTAAATGGAATAGAAATGGAAAGGAGAAAGGTCGAAGACTACCTGTTATGACGTGGGTTTTTCGCATCCAGAGTCAAAGAAGTTCACGCAGCATTTCTGATGCGATTCAAGGCGCATTGAACCCTCCAAAGCTCTCTCTTTTCCAGTCATGAAACCCTTCTTCTCTTCTCACTCGCTCTCTCCCCGGTTTCCTCAATTTTCCCTAGCCTTTTTCTTCTCCCTTTAGTTCGTCACTCTCAGCTTTCTCCCTATCTCTCCAACTCAGCCGCCCCCTTATTTTCTATCAGCCGTTACTAGATTCCCCCCTCTTTTCTTTTTCCTTTGTTCTTTCTTCCCGAGCCCCGCCGTCCACTCTTTCTGATTCTCCCTCTGTTTCTTTTCCTTTCAACCCCTCAGCCCGTTTCTTTTTTCTAATTTTCTCCCTCCACCAGCCGTCAAAAGCCTCTCTCCCTTTTCTATCCGCTGTTTCCCAGCTATTTAAATGAGACAAGGGTTCTTAAAACCCTCATCTCAATGGCCCTAAAAATTCAGATTTTATGGAATTATTAGAGCCATTGGAAACCTCCTTCTGGATCCTTCTGGATCCTTGGATTAAGCCAAGTGGCCTTGGGCATCAACATAATCAAAATGCATCGTGAAATGAAGTTACGTTTCTGGTCTTGCGAGCTGCGTTTGAGCCTGCAATATGAAGGAATTAGCGCGCGTGCAAAGGATCTTTTTTTTTTTTTTTTGCAATGAAATAATTTTCTTAACAAAATAAAAATAAAAATAAGTTAAGCAAAAATAAAAACCCGAAAGTTAAAATTTTGGTGTCTACAATGCCTCTTTTATACTTTTAAAGCGTTTTGTTGAAAAAAAAAATCACTTTTCAAAAATTAGTTTAGTTCGGAACAAGTACACGTTTTTCGAGGCTATACTTGAATCGGGAGTGTATTAATATTGGAGAGTTAAGAATGATCAATGGTAGATTAAGAAAGGTTAATTGAGGAATTAAAACTCGACTCAGGTGAGGACACACAAATTTTCTCATTTTAAATTCCTATTTCTAGTTTATTTAATTATTTACTTGGTCATTTACTCCGAATATTATTTTGTAACCTATTTGGACCTAATTACATGGGTTTATAACTTCATTATATTTTTAAAGTGACTTGTTTCAAAAATTAATTTTAGAAGCTCGTTTAGTGAAAATAGTGAAAACGTGTTTGGAAATTTTAACCGATTGAGAGTACAATAAGTTTGAAAAATTGGAGACTTACACAATGGTCCTAAAATAGGTAATTTTATGTTTAAGTACTCAAGTGATAGTTATTAGTACTATCGTTATAAGAAATTCTTGGAGGTTTCGTTTTATCGCGCTTAATTTGGAAATACGCGTTTTCACACGCGCGATTTAATTGAGAGACTTTAGACCCTCATTTTGGGACAATTAAGAGTGAATGTATTTATATGAATATAAGTGTATTGGAGGTCAAGTACACTAGTGAAATAAACTCGAGAGGAATCGAGCACAAAATGCGCGCGTGCGCGCGCGAAGGAGGGTTGACGTTTGGGCAACTTTGGACCACACACTAAAGCTTCCTTTGGAAGCTTCATTTCAGATCAGAATTTCCTCTCTCCTAGCTCCATTTCCAGCATGCAACTCCAAGGAAAAGAACCAAGCTTGCTCCTTCAATTTTCTTCTCCATTTTCCCTCACCAAACTTGCACCAAAATTTAACTATACTTAGCTTATTACTTGAAGATCATCTTAAGCTACAACAAGGGGGAGCTTTTCACGGTTTTTTTGGCCAAGGAGAGGACCGAAAATTCTGTTCTTGCACACCAAGTGAAGTAGGTAACGATCTAACCTTCAAAACTTGGTTTATGGAAGTTCTAGTGCCCTTATATACTCATGCATGTCTGGCGGAAAATCAAGCTCCGGGAGTGCGGGAGAAAGCAAATTTTGAAAGAGTTTGAAAAGAACTAACTTCCCACCAAAAGGGTGGGTGAGCTCCTATCCCAAGAGAGAGCACAGCTACTTTAGAGTGAGAAAGCCTCTACGTTAGAGAGAGGATTCCATCAGACTTTTCACATTGCTTTGTTGTGTCATCTGTTAGATGATTGTATCCGGGATGTCAATAACAATGAATTGAAGTTTGACATTTGGGTTTGGGTAGCATGAAGCGAGATTTCAGTTGCTGCTGTCCTTTTCATGATACAAAGCATGTGCATGTTTGCTGCACTATTTTGTTTCCGGGTAGGAGTCCTTAGTTTAGAAACTAATGTTGTCCTGTGTTGTGGGTTTGGTTAAGTCAATTAGTAGGCTTTGTTTTGCATGGGCAACACAGTTGAATGATGAAATTGCTGAAGGAAAAACAGCTGTGAAGAAACAAAGCTTGTTTCGTAGCTTTGCATGAAACTTGCATGAAATTCTTCCAACAATTACATTGTTAAGAGGTGTTTAGCCATGTTTTTAATTGGAGTTGTTTCAAAGTTGTTGTATGAATCTTGTTTGCCGAGTGTTGACACCAAATTTTTAAATAATTTTTTTTCTATTTTTATTTTTGCTTTCAGTGATAATTCTTATCTATTTTTATTTGTTAACTTCATGATTTTGGTTTAGATTTTTTTTTAGCATTTGTATAGCGTTTCAGATTATTATTATTATTATCTATTATTTTATTTTTATTTTTTATTTTTATTTTTGTATTCATTTTTGCCTTTTTAGCTGTTTATTTTTATTGTTAAGATTTTTAGCATGAAATTTGTCAAAAGAGAAAATCATTCACAAAAAAAAAATATGCTTAAGTTATTTTAGATTCAAGTTCATTGTTATTTAATTAGAAAAAAAAGGAAAAAGAGAACAAGCTCACGTGGGTGAGCTGCACAGGATCCAAACTCTCTCTATGTATTTCATTCAGACAGCAACGAGATTACAGCAGCTTCTGGGGAGAAATTTCTAAAATTATGATGAATTTTAAAAAAATTCTACAAATGGGGCATTTTGAGTGTGGGATTCCGTCCAAGGGATCTTCACATTCAGCAAATGCGAGCTCCCTCAACTCGCATTTGCTGAATGCGAAGTCTCTTGAATTTTCCTCCAACGAAATCCAAAAAAAAAAAAAGAAAAAAGAAAACCAGACCTCGCATTTATGAAATGCGAGGTCAGCTACCTCGCATCTCTTAAATGCGAGGTCAGCTACCTCGCATTACCTCGCATTCAGACCGCAGACCGCAGAATGCGATCTCATCTCAAAGCTCAGACCGCAGAATTCTGGCGTGATGCCAGGAATACAGGAGATGGCACGGGCGTGTTACTAGTGCTGCTTACACCTCCCATGTCCTTGGTCTTGTGGAGAAGGAATGTTCCAGACAGGATAGTCACAAAGCCACATACTTCAGAGACAATTTGCGATGCATTTTGACTGTCCCAGTCCTGCATGAAAAGTTTGAAAGTCAGCCTTTTGTTGCTCTGATTCGTCCCTCCTCCTCCCAATCCACAACACTAAAATATATATATATATATACACGAAAGGAAAAAGCTAATAATAAAAGCCAAATGAAAGTACCTTAAACATTATAATGCTAGCTAGGATGGTGAGGGATGTAAACATAACATAGTATACTGGGGACACCACAGCTGTATTAAAGGCATCCAGTGCCTGCAAAATGACATGTACAATTATCAGATTACACATTTTTCAGGTAACTGGAATCCATTGCAGCAACATAAGAAAGGTACAACGAATTACAGTTTATCTACAACAAAATCCATATTCAGAAATTTAGTATCACTTGTTCATGGAAAAGATAACAGGAAAAAATCAAGAAAGGGAACATTCGTGCTCTATGAAGAACTGAAGAATTTGCCTGTCATAGCAAATGGTAAAGCCAAAGACAGTGTTCAAGACACAGATGGCAGAATTTGCTAATATTTCAGTATGTCTACTTGAAGCCAGTTGATGAACCTTGCTTTTAGACCAAAGGAAGTGCAAGATGAATATTTATCTTGCCCCAGGGAGCAGTTTATTGTCATAGCGTAGGAAAGGAATCTCAATATAGTGTTTGTTTATCAGTGCTAATAAAGATGTAAAGAAATAGCCAGTAGATAACCATCATTTTCATATGATAATGCACTGATTGTTGAAAATTGAAATCCATCAACAAAGACATCATTTTCTTTTTGTTTATGTTAGAGCTGTCACGAAATGAAAAATATTGTTCTGTCAGAGCTCTGATTTAAAAAATATTTATTTTCTATGAGTAAATGCGAGCTCCTAAAAAAGTAAATATAAAAAATATATTTGTTTTTTTATAGCTCGCATGTAATAGTAAATTTGTTTTCTTGGAGCTCGCATTTATTAGTAAATGCGAGATCCTTCAAATATAAATTTTAAAAATATTTGTTTTCTTCGAGTACTAAATATTTAATTTAAAAAATTAAATATTTTAATTAAACAAATATTTATTTTGCAGATATCTCATTTACTAAATGCAATGTCTAGTAAAATCTTATTTTTTAAAAAATAATTGTTTATGCATTCATTGAGTGCTAGGAGTAAATAATTTGGATCTCGCATTCGATAAATGTAAATTCCTAGAAAATTATATTCAAAATTTGCTTTTTTTTTTTAAATTAGGAGCTCATAATCATTTTTGTTTTTGCATTGGCATTTATCATAGAGGAATAAATCCATATGAATAATATGGATTTTGAAAAATAAAAAATAAAAAATCTAGTTGAAAGATGGTAGCTTAGGTTTTGTCCTCCAAAAATAACTCCACAAACACCTTGGAAAGTTTAGGTTTTTTTGCTAGGGTTGCCGCCAGCCCTAGTCTAGCTCCATCCATGGCTGCCCTTCATCCCATGGGTGAGGGGCACCCCACGCCATCCAAGCGTTCCTTTGCCGATATCCTTGCCTCCTCCTCAAACCCGTTGCCATCCTCACAATTCTTGAAACCGAGAGAAGTGTATCGCGGAGAACCTGCGGTAACTTTCACCATTGATGAAATTCAATCGTTGGCTTCCCCTTTCCGTTTTGCCCTGGTAGGTAAGTTCTCCAAGGGACGGCCTTCCATGGAGGCTCTACGGAAGGAATTTTTAACCATTGGCTACAAAGGGACGTTCACTCTTGGCCTGCTGGATCCACGCCACGTTCTCATCAGGTTTGAACATGAAGAAGACTACCATAGATGTTGGCTTCGTCGTTTTTGGTCCTTTCAGGGTTTTGGAATGCGAGTACTGAAGTGGACTCCCTCCTTCTCGGTAGACTCAGAACCTTCCATCGTCCCCATTTGGATTCGGCTACCCAATCTTCCTGTCCATTTTTTCGCCAAGGGCCCTCTTTTCTCCATTAGCAGACTTGTGGGAGAGCCTCTTCGGCTTGATGCTTCCACAGCCGCCATTACAAGGCCTAACGTAGCAAGACTTTGTGTCGAAATAGATCTTCTTAAGGATCTCCCGAATCGCGTCTGGATTGTTAACGGATCTTTTGGATTCTGGCAGAAAATTGAATACGAAAACGTGCCTGACTATTGCCGCTGCTGTCATAAACTTGGCCATACTGCAGACGTATGCAAGATCAGCAACCCGGCGCCGACTGCTGCTAGTCAGGGGTCGGATCATCACGCGCAAGTCTGGTTACCCAAGAACCCTGAGACAAGCCACCCTGATATGCAGCAGCCAATGGCAACCAATGAGCCTCGCCAGAAACCAGAAATTTCCCTGATAAAGAACCCTAATCTGCTTGGCTGTGACAAAATGCACAAACAACGGGTAGTGCAAAATCAGGACACGACTAATCCCGCCCCTTCAGAGGGGACCCCGAGCCAGGTTGTATCTCATGGTCATTCTGCCACAAGGGAACCGAAACCCCCTGAACCGGCCACTCAGCTACAAGTGGTCATCCCTGAAGCCAACAACCTGGCGTCGAGGCTGCTGGATGATTGTGAGCTTGTAACAGAACGAGATTTAATCCAGTGGCCGACTTCGCTCTCGGATTCTGAGGACCAACAGCGGGATTCTATGCCCCGAGCTCAACTCTGTGAGAGTTTCCACCAATTCAAAAGGCGTATGGATGCTAAAGTCCCTTCTCTGGGAGGCTCGGCGTTGCCGCAGGGGAAAAATACAAAGAAAAAGAGGTTCCTTTCGCTTCCCCGCACCATAGTCACTCGTCAGGCCTCTAAGGCCATCATGGATTTCCCCTCTACCCATTAAATGTTTAGCTTCCTCATATGGAACATTCGAGGAGTTGCCGGCCGAGCCTCTTGTCGACGGCTGTTTTCTTTAGTACATGCTCACAATATTTCCTTCTTGGTTCTTCTCGAACCAATGATTGATGCTTCACAATTGCAAAGTTTGATTCAAAAATTTAAGTTTAAGCTGGGATTATGTAACCCAACCAATAAGATTTGGATTCTGTGGAGAGAAGGGGTTGCGGTGGATGTTCAGGTTAGCTCCGACCAGCTTTTGCATTTAGCCATTACACATGAGACCTGGACTCGTGTAGTCTTTGGAACCTTTGTCTACGCAAAATGCACCACAGTGGAACGGAGACCCCTATGGCAAGACTTAATTTCAATCTCTCGTCGAGTGGGTGGTGAGCCTTGGCTAGTTGGAGGAGATTTTAATGCTATTGTTTCCTTAGATGAATATCTTGGCCCTGCCCAGCAAGATTTACAAGCAGTTTCGGAGTTTGCAGACACTATTGCGGACTGTGGTCTAAATACCTTGCCTGCCTTTGGGAGCCGCTTCACATGGTCTGGCATCCGGAGGGGTAGGCGGGTCTGGAAGAGACTTGACAGAATTTTGGCAAACACTGATTGGCAGCAAGCGTACCCCTGTGGTTCTGTGCAGCATTTAAGTCGCACTGGCTCTGATCATTCGCCCTTGCTCTTGCGCATGAACAATCATCAGGGTACCCCTCGGCCATCAGCTTTTAAATTTCAACAGATGTGGGTGCGTCACCCGACCTTTCTTGAAGTTGTCCGAGCTAGCTGGGAGCAGGAGGTGCAAGGCTATGGCATGTTTGCCTTCTCCTCCAAACTTAAGCGTCTGAAACAGGTGCTTAAGGAGTGGAACAAAACCACGTTTGGGGACATATTTGCAAATCTAAAGAAGGCTGAAGCAAAGGTCAAGGAATGTGAGATCCAAATGGAGGGAGAGGATTCGGATGTGCTAAGATCTCAGTGGAGCAGTGCGCAAGCTGCACTGCTGCGATGTCTTGCGGATGAGGAAACTTACTGGAAGCAGAAAGCTCGGGTTCGGTGGCTAAAGGAGGGGGATGCTAACACAAAATTCTTCCACGCTTCCCTTCTTAACAAGCGGTCGCGGCTAACCATCCACCAGATTCAGGACAGCCAGGGGCATTTGCTTGAGACAAATGACGACATTGGACAGGGAGCAGCTAGTTTTTTC